AAACATTTTTATATTCAACCTGGCCTTCTGAAGCTTTGGTAATCTTCTGCAGAGTATATACTCTATATACCAAAATAATAAAGCAACATGAAAACTAAAAATTCATACTGTATTTCCATAATGTTCCCTTTGGTTTCTTAAACGTTGATAAAAATGAGTAGATAAAAATCTTAATAAGAATATTCCCTCTGGTAAATATTTGATTACTAGTCTAAAAAAGATCCAAGTTAGGCACCTCCTAAAACAGATCCTGCCAGACAAGTAGAAAGAATGCAGGAAAAGGCTAGAGCTGTATGCGTTAAAAGTTCAGGTGTGCTCTGTAAGGAAGAAGGTCTACAAAAATGTTCAAGAAGCCCAGGAGACATCTACCAATCACAGGATCCTCTCACAACCCAAGCAGAAGCAGGAAAAAAACTGAAAGAACGGCAGAACAGGTTTTACTCTATAGTCTCTAAAATGAAGCTGAAACATTTTTAGTTATTGCAAAAATTCTGACTAGCAGGAAAATATTGCAATAATATAAAACAACTTGGCTAATATACATTACATATAATATGTGATAACATAAATATTATATAAAAGTCTACATTTATAAAATTATTTCTGAATTCTCATTATTTCTATATTCCTACTTAGTGTAGAATTATTATTAAATTAAATTATTAAATTATACACACACTACTTATATGTATATATGTTCTGTGAACATGCAATAAATGATATGGGAAATATTGATTCATCTATTCAGGCTGTCAAAAGAGAGTACACTTTAAGAATATGCAAGTGAGCTGGGTATTGGTGGCACATGTCTGTAATCCCAGCACTTGGGAGGAGGGGCAGGCAGATCTCTGTGAGTTCGAGTCCAGCCTGGTCAACAGAGTGAGTTTCAGGACAGACTAGACTATAAAGAAAGACCCTGCCTCCAAAAAAAAAAAAAAAACCCAAAAAACAAAAACAAAGAAAATTCATTTCAGTAGAAGAAAGGGATAAGTTTAGAAAAAGGGGCATTAGAGAAAAGGAACACAGTGGGGCTTCTCTGATGAGAGGTCAGGGGGACTGGCAGGAAAGAAAGAAAATTCTGCCCACAGGGAAACAGTAGCAGGAAGCCAGCTGGGTGCTTCCCTTCTCTGTAGGCCGGGTATCTGAGCCAAACGTGGAAGCAACTCTCACTGGCCTCACTTCTCCCTAGCTCACAGCCTGGGTTGGTACTGAGCACATCCTCTCTGCAGAGCAGCCTGGGTATCTCAGGAAGGATGCTCTTGAGTAGTGGGAACCAAAGAATAAAACAGATATGCCTAGCCTTAGGGAGGTGACTAACATAGTATGCTTTCCACAAAAGCCAAAAGAAATACACAAACACAGTGTTGGGGTCCTACACAATGAGTCGGGATGTAGAAATGATGAATTCTGCATGAAACTTTTGTTTCTTTCTGCAGTGAAAAGGCAAACCTAGGTACTTGTGAACAGTAGGCAAACACTACCACTACATACCATATCCAGCCCACCAAATCCATCTTAATTTCCTATTACAACATTGAATAAAAGTCAGTTAGTGAGAATATATCTCAAGATTATAAACCATTTTAAGGTTGGATGTTTACATACAAAGCATAAATAACAAAAGCAAGTACAAAGACTATTTTCTTTTCAAATATATTAGGAAATTTAAAAAAATTACATTATAATTATTTCCCAAAATTAGGGAGATTTTTTCCATATCTTCTTGGAAAGTCTGGAACTAATATTCATTTTATCTCTAAAAGCATATGATGAGCATGAGACGGATAACGCTACTACATGACACCCGCACTGTGTTCACTGGGCACGCACAACATGATTCTAAACTATTTCAACTGTTTATTATTAAGTAATATTAAGTTGAAGAACATAAGTATAATGGTGCCCATCACTTCTACCATGAGAAGCTTCTTTCCTCACTGTAACTATCCCCTGGCATTTGCACACGGGTTCTATAGGAACTGGTATTCCTGGGCATAACTTCAACGCCTTAAAGGATCAGAACCATTCCTTTACTTAAAGCTAGAAAGACAAAACCTGACATTTCAAACAAAAACAAAATACATTCAAAGATAAGGAAAAGTTTTATATTAATGATTGACAAATGCATTATACTAGAAATAAATGAATGAACGTAAACACATCTCAAATGTTTATACAGAGAAAGCTTAGTTATTATTCATGACACGCTGGTTATACTGTGCTCTAAAAGAGACTTATGCTTGTAGCGCCCTCTGCTGGGCTTTCAGCTCACAAACGCAACCTAGCAACACTAATAACATCAAAGACTTAAGTATCAAGTGAAAAACTACTTTTTGGTCCATGAGCACTTTAAGATGATGATTATATTAAAGCTGCAACGAGTATTTGCTATGCTGAAATAAGACTTGACCTATTTATCCATTAAGTAAAATTTCAATAGATGTTCTCTTGAAGAGTAAATATATGATCACATAAATTATAGACGCATCTATGCCGTGGAAGTAGAACTGTCCAGGGGGACAAAAGGAACTAAGAGCAGCTAAGAGGGGCAGGAACAAAGACAGGAGGAAGGGATGAGAGACAGTATGCTCCCATGTACAAACACTAGAGAGTAAATGTTGCAGAAGGATCGGGCAATGACTCGGTGGAGAATGTACTTGCAGCACACTCACAAGGACCTCAGTTCAAATCCCCAGAACCCATGTAAGCGGCAGCTGGGCCTGGTGGCCTGTCTCTAACTCATGTAAAGGGCAGCTGGGCCTGGTGGCCCGTCTCTAACTCATATAAGCGGCATCTGGGCCTGGTGGCCCATCTCTAACTCATGTAAGCGGCAGCTGGGCCTGGTGGCCCGTCTCTAACTGTGACACTAGCCCTCAGGAAGGCCCCAAGACTAGCTGCGTAGCTAGGCTGGCTGCATGGACAAGCTCTGGGTTCTGTTACGAGACCTTGCTTAAGTGAATAGGTAGGGACCAACAACAGCAGAAGGCTCCTGACCCCAACCTCAGGCCTCCACACACATGCATACACACATACAGCCACTCCCAGAAACGTACATACATACACACACCACACATGCCCACAGACACTCGCATGCCAAAAATAGTTACATAGGAAGAGAAGTCTTGATATACCTTGCTTCTGTTACTATACCTGCCACTTGGCAATATTTTCAGGCTCTTAAGTCTCTATTATGATAATGCATTTTGATAAGCAATTTAGCTTTTTATCTAATCTTTAGTTCAATCAAAATAGTTCATTTTAAAATATCAAAATAATTCTTAGGGTGTCTCCTTTCAACTTAAATTTATTTTAAATTAATCCTTAACAACATAAAATGCTCATATTTATAAACAAATATGAAAAGGAGTGATACCAGAGCAATAAACAAATAAATAACTAGTTTCCACTTATTGAGTATTAGTTGTGAGAAACAGGGTGCTCTCTGGTGTCTGTGTAGTCTTTAAAAATGAATAAAGTACAGTCCACAGAGACTATAGAAATTGCTTAAGGCAAACTTCTGAGTGAGGATTCCATTGGAGATGTGTCTCGCTCACTCTGAAGTTTCCTACCAAACAACAGACAGCAGGAAGAAACATCCTCAACACACAATTTCTCCATTTATCAGCGCAACAACGTGGGGGTGTGGGGGTGGGGAAAATGGTGAAGAAGAATAAGACATTATTCACATGTGAAATAATAATTTGGACCATTAGGAAACTACCTTTATGGCATGGAGTGCTGCCAGTTAGTGGCCCTAGGTCGCACTGAGTCAGGAAAACAACACTTGTTCTCGGCTACTAAACCAAAACTTCTCTACTTCATATTCCAGGATCACGTTCTAAACCTGTGTGTGCACAAGGCTGACGTAAGGATAGTTAACATTACTCCAGTATACTCTACCACCATAGCATCCCTTCACCGGTCCTTGCCTAGCTCCCAGCAAAACTACAAGGTACACCCAAGTCAGAATTCAGTAAAGGCCAATACACATAAACTAAAAGGTAATCTATTACTACCCATGCAAAAGAAACCTACATCATTTTAAATATTTTAAGATAATTTTAGAATAATTAGACTCCTTAGTGACAAAATATAATTTTTCTATACAAGCAAGAGCTAACCAAAATGTGCTCATAGAACAAAATTAATATCTATTATTATACATTATTCAATTCAAATCCATCCATTTGGTAAAACAATTCTAGTTGCAAACTTTATCATTTAAGTATAGATAATAATTTTTTATATATTTCCTCTGAAGAAAAAATTGAGTTCTCTTTAAATTTGAAATGGTCATATTTTACTATTGATTCATTATTTTGCTAAGTATCCTGTGCAACAAGTTAGAGGACACACACAGCTCTTATCATGTTATTTAACTGTGACATGATATATTCTTGGCTGATTTCTTTTCGATCATCATATGACATTATTTTAGAATTGCTTAAGTGAAGTTCTCAGCAGAGAAATAGATCACCAATTAATCAGAGGCTTAGTCGAAAATATAATATATGCTGTAATAGTATATAAACAAAACCTTGGATTTTTAAGTACATCATGAAGAACATGTTCTATATCTAATCTGTTTTAAAAAGCAAATCACCCAAAGCCAGCAGAAGCAGACCAACAACTTGATCCAAAAAAGTCCCAATGGAAACAAGAAACAAAAGGAACAGTACTGGAGAGTCCAGACTTCCTTCCGATCTATGTTCCATCACACACACAAATACACACATCACCATAAAGTTTTTGTGAAAACTGCCTTGCCACACACCCTTTAGTATGCATCGCCTATGAGGCATGTTTTACGGCTAACAGCACCAAGGGTTTCTTATATGTATGTATATGTGTAAATATACATACATAAAAATATATGTATTTATGTGTGCGTGCACATACACATAGAAATATATACACAGTAAGTATAACAAACAGCATATAAAAACTAAAAGTTGCTTTTTAAAGCACTGAATACATTTTACAGTTAGCATATAACTTACAGACATTTCCTGTATTGTCAAAGCTGGTAAGAACATCTTCAACATTCAAGGATCCACTATTAAACCTGCAAAGGAATAGAGCATTTTATTTAACATTTCTGAAATAACAGTATGTCTAATCCTTTTTTAAATCTCAGAGCAAATTGTGATATATCCAATGTAATACCCAGCATCCATCTTTAGAAGCCCCCTCCCCCTGAAAGTTGCCTTGGTCCAGACTCCACCTTTGGGAAAGCCCACCTAGAGGTGACCCCCTTCCCCGGGGAGGGTCAAAAAAAGCCTGCCAAGTGGTGGACCACTCCCACAGGCTATTTAGGCTACTGCCCAGAAAAGGAACACGTGGTCTTTGGGTACTGTGTGGTCCCCTGCTCGCTCGCTCTCTCTCTCTCTCTCTCTCTCTCTCTCTCTCTCTCTCTCTCTCTCTCTCTCTCTCTCTCTCNTCTCTCTCTCTCTCTCTCTCTCTCTCTCTCTCTCTCTCTCTCTCTCTCTCTCTCTCTCTCTCTCTCTCTCTCTCTCTCTCTCTCTCTCTCCATGCTCTCCCAGCCACCAGGGAGCGCAGCAGCAAATGTGGGCATCTTTTATTCAGTCTAATTTGATCTGATTGAAATTATTTGCATAAGCGGAGAGGCTCATTTTAGGAATATCCCTAATATATGGAGGTTTCCACCCAGGGGGTCTGTTTTTCCCATAGGCCCAGCATCGTGTGCTGGGAAAATGCCCTTCTCGCAAGCTCTCCGCCAGGCTAACATTGGCTTCAACTCGGTGAGTTCCCCTTTTGGAGTACGTGGCCAGTCTCTGGGGGCCCTTTTGCGCACCTTTATTTTTTGTCGATTTTTGGGCTTTCTGATGAAGTAGCAGCCATGCCAAACGCCAGACCCACACAGCTAAGCCGGACTTAGCTGAGATGAGACCTGGGTGTTTGGAGACATCCGCCACTCATTTCTCATGCACTCGTTTTGACTCAAGAGCACTGTCCAATAGACACATTGCCACATGCTTGAGTCCCAATAGGCATGGGCTTCTAATGAGTTCTTGCGATTCCAAGCCATTTACTCAAAAGCCCTTGGGCAGCCTTTTACAAAATTCCTTTTAAACTGGGGCTATATAACGAGCAACGTAAAATAAGCAAGACACGTGCTTCTGTCACGCTCCGGGCCACTCCCTTCTCCCTGCTCTCTAGCTATTTGCTGTTTTTCTCACTCTGGGATTTTATAAAACAAATCTGTTTCCTGTCCTTCCACTCTCCTGGCTTCTGCCACCTAACTACACCGGACCACTCTGGATCCCTTCCCCTTCCCCCTCAAGCTGTTTGCTTAGCTTCCCTGTCTTCTGCCACCTACCTACACCAGGATTATGTTTCTAAAAGTGTTTTATTTGTCTGTCTGTTGAACAATGTGGCCACAGTATGTCTGTGTAACTTTGTTGGTATGTTCTCATAGTATGCTCAATTTATGTTTCTGTGTGCATGTGTATTCATTTTAAGATCAGTAGAATTTCTAACTCCACACTAAAATAGCTCTAGAAAAATACAAACACATGGGTAACTGCCATTTTGACCCCACTACCATCTTGGGTAAGAGTACCCATGTGCGCTAGTATTCTTTGACTTATTAAAATACCCCTTTTAATCTTCTTGCAGTTACTAGCATTGGTAAGCTGTAACTAACTGGATAAAATACATGTCTAAATTTAGCTTATATGCCCAGTTTAAATATCAGGTAATGGTTCCCAATTCTCAAGTGCCTTTACAGATCTTAGGGTATGGCATTTAACAAAAGAGCTTCTAACACAGAGACATGCCAGCTCCCATGGCACCCTTTAGCTCCTCTAAGAAGATATGTGGTTGCAAAGGATATTTTGCCTCCAGGCTTGCCTTTGCGTTTGGCAAAGCCATCCACACAGCAAAAAGCAGCTTTTCACCTCTTCAACTTCCTGGATGTCACCTGGGGAATCAATCTTCTTATCCCGCCAAGACAGGTAGGTTAAATCTCCCTGCCCCCATATCATAGTATTCAGAGTATTTGATGTAATAGTATGTCCTGATTATAATCAACAGCTTAAATAATATACATTTTAAATCACTGTTTAACAGAAAATAATTTATAGTTACATACAAGCAAATTCTTAAAGACACAAGTTAAAAAAAAGAAATATATTACCCAGAAAATTTTAGAATAAAAGAAAACACACACACACACACACATGCCTGCACGACCCCAGAACCGCCCTCAGTAACACAGAAAGTTCTGCTGCAGCAGTGCACTAATCACAAAACCAGTCACAAGGAACCAGTCAGTCATGAGTCACTTATGGATAGCTGGAACCCTTAGCAGGCAAAGGGGACTCATGGTATTTACTCCTAATCTCAATTCTGTCTCCGTTAGCTCTACTCTCTCTTCAAATATTGCATTTGATTATCTGGATGTTAGTAAGGGATCCAACTGGCAATAGTTTCAGCTAGAGCACCACGATCTTTTAATTCACCATCAGAATTACAGCTGTAGCTGCTTCCGGGCGTTCTGATTGTTTATAGTATGATCAGCACTGGAAATGCACTGCACCAGTACTATGTGAAGTTTGTCATTAAAACTCAAAAGACAGGACAGATGGGGCTAGAATATGTGTGTGTATGTATATAAAGTTATACGTCAAGGACTGGCCTCGACCAAAATACTTCTTACCAGGGCAGGGATGTGGGAATTTTATAAATATAGTAAAGAATATGAAGATGCATAAAAAATAGTAGGACAGAAACCATAGAAAGTATGGGGAGGGCATTCCAGTGACTGAAATCTGCCTGCTTATTCTTCCACAGATTTTATACCCAACATAAATGGGGGCAGGTAACAAAAGACTTTATTAACATGATACAAGGGATAACTCACACAGTCAATGGCTTTATTACTCTGAGACATCCAATCATTAGCATCCTGTTGTCTAGGTAGTGAAGGTGTTCTAGATCATTTTGTGCTGAAGACCGCCCTTCCCCAGGTGACCTCACAGTTACAAAAGAAGGAACAGAAGTACATTTGCATATCCTGACCACCCATCAGAATAGCAGGGAGCTATCTTAACTTCAAAAGAACCAAGCAACTATGTTTGTCAATCTCCAAACTCTCTGACTGTCAGACAAGGTAAAAATGGGCCTGCATTTCTCAACCTCCATATATATATTTGTTAGAATAAATATATATAATTACACATATCTATATATCAAGAGAATACTAATCATATTACCAGGGGAAAAAAGCTTTTATTTCTATCAGATACCATTTCTCTGACAGAATCATTGAGATTGCATAGTCATCTGCAATCATAACTAGCCAATTAAATACTGAGCTCAAAATTACCATAATCCAAAGAAATGAAGTAATAAACCATCAGTCGTAGCTTTCGAACCATATTATAACTCTGTATCTCCTCTATGAACACGGGAGTCACTAAAGTCACTGACAACTATAAAATATAAACATTTTATATGCAGGACAGGGCATGACATGGGACAGAACTCAGCATGTTCCAAAATGTGTGAGCAATATATGAGTCCTTTGAAAATAACAAAACATGAAAACCCTAACATGCAGAGATAACCAGTGAATATTTTGGAACACACTCTAGTGGTATATTATTTGTTATTTTGATAAATAAATCTTTCCTGAAGATTAAAGGAAAAGCTGAAGCCACTAGAGGTCAGGTGTAGTGATGAGGCGAGTAGGCCTGCTTTTTGTCCCATCCGGCTCCCACACTGCCAGCTTTACACCCCAAATAACAACACACAAATTGTATTCATTTAAACACTGCCTGGCCCATTAACTCTAGCCTCTTACTGGCTAACTCTCACATCTTGATTAACCCATTTCTATTAATGTGTGTAGCACCACGAGATGGTGGCTTACCGGGAAGATTCTAATCTACATCCACCTTGGGCCGGAGCTTCATGGCGACTGCCTCACTGCCTTCTTCCTCACAGAATTCTGTTAGGTCTACTCCGCCTACCTATGTTCTGACCTATCAGGCCAAGCAGTTTTCTTTATTAATTAACCAATGAAAGTAACACATAGACAGATGACCCACCTATATCAGTCAGGTAATGGTGATCCACATCTTTTATCCCAGGATGTGGGAGACAAAGGTAGATAGAAATCGAGGTGGTGGTGGTCTACACCTTTAATCCCAGTCCTAGGGAGTCAGTCACACCTTTAATCCCAGCACTAGAGGGAATAAATGGGAGGAGAGGGAGGCAAAGGCTGCTTAGTCTATGGTCGCCCAGCCTTGGTAGAAGGAAGATTTCTCAAGTGGCTCGGCTGCCTTGCTTTTCTGATTTTCAGGTTGGACCTCAATTTCTGTCTCTGGGTTTTTATTATTCGTGCTACAACACACTCTTCAAATCTGTTCTCTATACTTTGATAGATATTGATTTGCAATTTGTGTTTTTTATAATGTATTCTAAACAGATTCAACACCCAGTATCTCCCGTCACATGATCTTAACAACTGCTCAGAAGTTCAAAGAGCAGTTGTGAATGACTCTGACTGTCAGCAGCACAATTCCCGCACACAAACTTCACATTGGATTTTATGACTGCACCCAGTGTGGAGCTGTCACACACACTACTGTAGTGGAAATAATTGTAGATTATCATCAAGCCTCTTTCTGATAACTTCCTTTAAAAAGTTTTTTTTTTTTTTTTAAAAAAAAAAAAAGGCTGTAACCCAGCATTATGAGAAAGTAAGATTCAAGGGCCTTCTTGGCTACATGGAGAAGTTAAATCCTGCCTGGGCTAGAGACCCTGTCCAAAAAAGAAATCCTAAAAGCAGAATTACTGAATTTCTCCTTTCTTTTCCTTTTCTCCCTTGTCCCTTTAAACAACACAATCAGGACAAAGCATTTAAAATTAATTCTGAAGCAAGAGAATGTTACATGTGGTATCTGAATGAGCTTGGCTCCCATGGGCCCTTAGGGAGTGGTACTATTAGGAAGTTTGGCCTTGTTGGAAGAGGTGTGGCCTTGTTGGAGGTGTGGCCTTCTTGGAGGAGGTGTGGCCTTCCTGGAGGAGGTGTGGCCT